GACTTAGCCTCGGACAAGCGATCGCCGACAATGCGACGCGGACGTTCAAAGACGGGCGGTCCAGCCGTAACAATGCGGTGCACCACACTGCAGCCCTGGAGCACAGCCCCAGATCTCGACGGCCGAGCGAGGTCGGCGAACTCGGCGAGATAACGAGTCGTAGGCGGCTCGATGGCGTAAGTCAGACGAAGCTGCGACAGAAGCAACCCCGTGGAGGGCGACTTTTCGAAGGTGCAAGGCCGATTCTTTGGCCGAAGATTGATCAACGAGGCGTTGGCGACGAATGTCGACCAAAAGGCCGGAATGATTTAAAAAATCAGCCCCGAGGATGGGCTCGGGCCCGTCGGCCACCACGAATAACCACTGAAACTTTCGCGAAAAATCAAGCGAAAGCGTCAGTAGGTGGCGACCGAAGGTGCGAATCGGGGTGCCGTTAGCAGCAACAAGACGAAGTTTGTCGCAGGAGAGCGATTTCGAGACGAGGCGGCGGGGTAGGAGAGAAACTACCGAGCCGCAGTCGACCAACATGGGTAGCCGTAACGAGCTCTCGAAAATATGCAGGCGGTAATCCGAACAAAAAGAAAACTGGCCACCGATTACCGCCGAGTTGTGCGGGGGCGAGATTAGTTTTTTCTGCGCGTGTCGTCTCGATAACTGCACGGTGGTTTGCAGTTAGCCGCCCGATCCCTGTATTGCTTGTGGTAGTGGCACCAGCGGTGCGACGGAGGTAGGGCCCTTACCGTAAGGGTAGGTCTTGACGACAGTACTGGTCTTGGTGCTGACAACGACGAAGATGCCGATCCCGCCGACGGTGGAGGAGGCGCCAGAAACAACGAATTATCATTCTGTATCTCATTGTGCGTGTGTGTATAAATTCTGTATCGTGTTGAATAAAATCTGTTCTGAGAGATCACAAATAAAAAGGTGAAGTCCCTTGTCGGGTCCGGCTTTCTCATTGGTCGTTACGGTGGTCAGTAACTAGCCATTCGGTTCGCGGTTATTGGATTTCCCACAGTACTCACGCCTTAGTCAAAATAAATTAACCAAATCTTATAATTAACGTTAAAAATAGCAATAAGAAAATTTTTTTTATTGTTTTACAATTATTCCCAAGACATTATCGTCAATTTGTTGTGTAAATCTATTCAATTTCATCTTACCTAGTCGCAGTTGAGTAAAGGATGGATAACTAAATTTAAAAAGTCCAATTAAAAGTAAATTGTAATTTATTATCGTAAATTGCACTTTTTACCATTTGCATCATTGCATTTTTTTATATTAGTAATTAATAATTATCAATTAAGGTTATATTACCTGTGGTAAAGCGAATAAAGATGTATTTCTCTGATTTAATTTAGCATTCTTATTACGATCCTTGACTCGTCCACTTGTACACCCGTGAACAATACATTTATTTACCATTTTTAAATAAATATTACTTTTTATAAATTAAAAAAAAATTAATGCAATTGCTAATGATGCAGTATTGTCAATAATTATCAATGAAAAATATGACGTTTAAACTTGACATTAGCGAACATAACGAGACCTAGCGACGTATTTCCGAAAATGATCTTTCCTTTTTTTTTCCAGTCGCGTTGGAAACGCGGTTGTACACGTTGTACACCACCTATTGTGAATAAAGGCTCGTCCCTAGAGATCAGAATTAAAAAGGAAATTTCTTTCTCACTACATCACATGTTCCCATTGGTCTATTCCTCGTTCACGGCCCGTTTCTCACGTTAAGGGAAACACGCCTTAACGCTTCTAGTACCTCGAGAAGGAAATTCCAAATTATATATATATATATATATATATATATATATATATATATATATACTTATTCAAGGTATTTTGTAATACCAAAGATAAATTTAATTTTTTATATAAGCACAAAAAGTGCAATTATTAGTTATTAATAAGTTTAATTACAGTTTTTAAGACATATTTAGTGTATATGCAAATGGCAATAAATGTTATTATTGAATAAGAAAATAAGAAAATTACTATCAGTATTTTATTAAAACAATGAATACATTCATTTGACTATGAATTCATCAACAGTTTGTAATTCTTAATATCGTCTTAAGCGACGACTATGAATATCTATCCAATTACACATCTTGGCTAAGATCAAACTTTGAAGCATATCTTAAGATTGCGTCTATGAATGTAAACGCTGGCTTAAGACCATGCTTAAGGCGGATTTGAGTATAAGAGCGCACTATGAATACTGCGGTTAATCGTTTAGGAACATAAATATTGGTAAGACTGATAATCTTTGAATCCATACAATATGATGTGAATTTAATTGTTGATTTTCTTAGCAATTAGATTAATCACTGCAACATATATGTGCAATAAATCAACAGGTTTAAACTATATACCATAAGTGTATTCCTTTGAAGGACTTTGTGCCAATTTTGGAATATAATTTTCTTTTCTTTACTTAAAAATAAAAATACTTAATAATTTTTATAATGATTAGTGGTCGTGCATTACATTTTGTATTTAAAATAGCTGAACGCAAACAAACAGCGAAATTCTATCGAGAAATTCTTGGAATGAAGGTTAGTTTTTCCTCAATTTTTTGTTATTGCATCATTAAGTGCAATAGTTTTAAAATTGATTATTTTAATTTTAGGTATTAAGACATGAAGAATTTGCTGATGGATGTGAGGCTGCTTGTAATGGGTCATTTTTATGAATTGCTATTAATTTTTTTTTATTTATATATTACTTATGGTAATAATTAATAATAATGAATATTATAATTTATAGTCCATATGCAAATCGATGGAGTAAAACGATGATAGGATACGGACCTGAAGATAATCATTTTGTAGTTGAACTAACTTATAATTATGGAATTTCTCATTACGAAAGCGGAAATGATTTTCGTGGAATAACTATTCGTTCTAAAGAAGCAATCGATAGAGCAAAAAGCAGTGGATGGCCTGTTCAAGAAGAAAATGGAAAGTTTATTTTGCAAGCACCAGGTGGTTACAAGTATTATATTATTAATGAACCACAACCCAAAGATAAAGGTAACTCTAATATTAATGATAATTTATATTTATACTTTTTCTCTTGTATATAATTGAATTATTTATTATAATCAGATCCAGTAGAGAAAGTAACGTTATCTAGTTCGAATCTTCAAAATACTATAGCTTATTGGAGGGATATTTTAAATATGAAGGTAATCGAACAAAAAGATAATAAAGTTTTAATGTCTTATAGCGAAGATCAAACTAAACTTGAATTTGTAGATATAGGTAAGTGTTTTTACATTTATTTAGAATTTCATTTTATATACATATTTTTTTATAATTGAAATGTTTTTCAATTATAAATTCAATATATTAGGTACTACGGTGGACCATGCAAAAGCATATGGTCGTATAGCATTTTCTGTACCATTGGCTGAACAACCAGAAATACAGAAAAAGATTAAGGAGAGTGGACACAAAATATTAACCGATTTGATAACTTTAGATACGCCAGGAAAAGCTTCAGTTAGAGTTATCATTCTTGCTGATCCAGTAAGTATATTAGAAAATATAGTTTTTTTGTTATTAGTAAAAATGTAATATATTTTTTTAAACATTATTTTATATTATTAACAAATTTTGATTTATTTTAGGATGATCATGAAATATGTTTCGTCGATGATGAAGGATTTCGTCAATTATCCGTTCCAGATTATCCAAGTGAAAAAATTCTTGATAGATATATTGCTAAGGAAAATAATTAAATATTGGATTATTTCAATATTATCAGTATTATATCAAAACTGAATCAGTTATTATCTTCTATCGAAAAAGATGTTTATATGTATATATATATTATTGTGATGGTGATGGTACATCCTGGATTTTATAAATATATAAATAATATATATTTTTAAATAAGAAATCAATTATATTTATGCTTTGAATAATAATAATAATAATAATAATAATAATAATAATAATGTATAATTTATATATAAATTACATGTTTTCCCAATTTAATATTAACATATCAAGAAAAGTTTCCCTTACATTCTTCTTTCAAAGATAATTCTGAATACAAGAAATTGATAAAAATAAAAATATGATTAGATATTGTCAACAATTTTCTACAACCGGAGAACTCCGAATTTCTCGATGTAAACATATTAATTATTACAGTCATTGAGTATACTAATATTAGTTATTTATTTTATAAATCTTAATTTTTATGTTAGAATACATATAGTTTATATGATAACAGTCGAAATAAACATTTCAATTATTGCACTTTGATACTTTAGACTTTGTTTTGGTTTATCTCCTATGACGTTATATTCATCAGCGTAGTATATTTGTAGTATTCAGTATACTTGATGTTGAACGCATGTGTTTGATATAACAGCCGGTTTAATGAGAAATCATCGTAATTTATAAAACATCATACATTATCTCTTGGGGGTCACAGATAAGAGAATTTTTATTTTCCTCATTTACATATAATTTCATTAATTCATAGAAATATATTTCTTAATACGGAATTTGATTTAAATAAGCGCGTCGCACAGTTTATTTGAAAGTCGGAATTAAACGAGATAGACCATTTTTAATAGTAATTTTAAACGTTGTCGTATGTTCTCGATTTACAATGACTTGGCTAAGGATACTTCTTTTACTCCTTCTTTTTGGATTCATAAACATAAGTTAGTATATTAATTTTTACAATTGTTTAATACTAAATTAGTACACATCCTAATATAATTCTAAAGTGTAAAATCAAATTTGTGCGTGTAAGTGGTCACATATATATATATATTAAATTATGCTTTTTCTATACATAAAAAGTGCTATTCGTTTATTAATATTTCTTATCTCGGTTATATTTACTAATGTTCAATATTAAGAGATAATTTTTATCATCTTATGTTATATTTTATTATACATATATTACATATTTTCAACAGGTTACACAAGTGCAAAAAGATTTTCTTTTTCACGTTCCGGCAGTAGTCGCTCATCATCGAGCCATCGAATTTCTAGGCCTTCATCTTCCTCCCATCCTTCAGGTGGGAGTCATCCTTCAGGTGGGAGTCATCCTTCAGGAAGAAATCATCCTTCAGGAGGAAATGCTCCAACTTCATTTGGTCATGAAAGTATTTCCTCGATAAATTCAAAACCTTTAAACACTGGACATACTGGAGGTATGTATTACATATAATAAATTAGAATATATTTTTATTAGTATAATATTATTTTATTTAACAAATATACAGTAAGATATAGTCGATTAAATGTACAGAGATCAAGACTTTTTTTAATCGGTGCCATAATTCCTTGTATACGCATTTTTAAACACCTTGTTGATGATTGATAAGTATATTACATACATATTAATATTCTAGGAAGTGCAGTTGTACATCCACAATCAAATAAAGATATCAATACTCCATTTTTACATGGCGAAGGAGGGGGCGCAAGCAAACCGAGTGAGTCACTCAAATTTTATGTATTTTTATTCTTTTTTATATTATTCTAAAATATTTCATTTTGATTTTTCAGAAACTGAGGTAAATTATCCAACTTCTAACATAGGTTTTAACACGAATGCAAAACCACCAATGCCTTATGCACCATCAGCTCCAAGTATACCAGTTCACGATTCAAAGCCCCTTCTTTCATCTGCACCACCCCATGGTAATATATATATGTATGTTTGTTTATACATGATAAAGAATAATTTATTAAATTATAATTCAATGCTTTATTTTTTTAAGCACCATCTTTTGGACCCCCTGGTACCCTTGGTAATCAAGGAACTGGAATTCCTATACATCAACCTCCAATTGGGTTTAAACCAAACATTTATCCTAACAATAATGCTCCAATTGGGTTTAAACCAGATGTTTATCCTAACAATAATGCTCCAATTGGTTTTAAACCAAATCTATATCCCAACAACAATCTCGGTTCACAACCTCCATACCCTCACAATCCTTCATATCCATCACATTCAATGTCTTATCCATCCATGTCTCACCCGAGTCAAATAGCTCCTCATTCTAATCCTGGAACTCCATTTATGCCACCGATGTCACCACCATTTGGTGGTCATTCAATAAGTTATCCGCAAGGACATAATTACCCACACCAACCTGGTATTCCACACTATCCAAATATGCAAACTGGTTATCCAATGAATAATCACTATGCACCTGGAGGTGGTTATGTGCCTAGCGGTGGTTATGCACCTGGACCTGTTCACTATCCTCAACAACAAGGACAATATCTTGCTCAACCTGCAGCACAGCCCTACATACCAGGACAAACAGTATTAATGATTCCAGGCCAACAAAGTAGCGGCAGAGGTTTTGGTGATATGATTAAGGAAGCTTTGGTATTTTCAACTATCAATGCAGGTGTAAATAGGCTGATCAATCCTCATCATCATTACGAGTCTAGACCAAGTATCGAAAGTGCGGCTAATAGCAATCCTGGTACAACAACGCATATAACTTACAACAATCAGTACTTTAACAATTATCCTGGTAATGGAACGGGTGAGCTAGTGAACCCACAAAATATGGGTTCTCCTTTAAATCCAGTGTATAATCCTACTGGATCAAATCCACAACAAAGTCCAGCTATACCGATGGCTAACTCCGGAGTTTACTATCCACCATCTAACATTCCAAGTACATCGGATGGAAATAATGCGAGATTACCGAATCAATTAGCTCCAACTGGTAATTTGACGGGTATGAAAAATGATGAAAATGTTTACGTTCAAGGAAATGATTTTAAGAAGCAAGTAAATAATTCAATTAATAATACAGCTGATGTATATCAATATTACATTAGCGATAATGATTTATACAAAATATCGGAAGAATTATTTGCCCAAGAAGAAGATAATGTAAATAAATATATAGTAATGAATCTACAAGCTCGTTCTACATCTAGTAACATAACAGATGTTGCTGAAAGACCGTAATTATCTCTGCTCTTTTTATATAATCATTTATATAACAACATTATCATAAAATTACAATGATTTTGATCGCACAATATATATATGAAATTTTCTTTTCACAGATTACTCTATGTACAATCAGACGCGTACAATATTCTAACGATCAAACATATGCGCATGTTATATGATAATTATGAACGTAATGCAAGCAAAAGGGAAATAAGAACTTTCGAAAAACGTATGGAGGAAAATCTTTTCCTCGATACTATCTTGAATACTAATGTTATGCATACAGCAATGAAGTGGTTATCATCGCGTAGCTTTATCGATCCAGACGATTTCGAAAGAAAAGATGTCCTACGTCATATTTGGTTCACCCAATTTAGTGGCACCTCCTCAGGATTTGAACGCGTCTTTGCATCAGAAATTTATGGTGGTACCGATATTTTAGGTATTCAAGATTGGATCTACTTCGATTATGAAGAATCATCCAAAACGATCAATTATATGGGATATACTGATAAAGTGGATCTTGGAAACGTATGCATGAAAATAATTAAATATTTTGTTATATTATTTTTTAGTCTTTGAATTATAAATTTAGAATTATTCAAATTCAATGAATTTTATTATTTTTAATGATTTCAGAAAGCTTCACTTGTAAAATTACATCTAAAAATGGACGGTATCATCAGACCAAACGTTACGATATTCGTAGGTACAACGCCGGAACTTGAAATGTCTTTATACACGATATGTTTCTATGCTAGACCAAATAATCTTTGTCCGGTATCACTTGGTAATACCAAATTCAATATTTATACTCATGCCTTCAGATATTATGGGAAAGATCTTATTGATCTTGCTCTGCCAATCTTTTAATTCGATTTATTTCGCCCCGATTTTTAAATAATATTATAAAAATAAGCTACATATTTATAAGATATATGATATGTAAATAAATAAGATATTAAATATTACAAATAACTGAACGAATAGAAAATAGAATAAAATAATTAATTGTAATAACTTAATTTCAATTTTATACTTTCGTTCGTATATATAATGATTTAAATAATAAATAAAAAACAATATTTTATCATAAAAAATGAATCAACAATTCTATTTACTTAATTCTCTTAAGAAAAGTTCATACGTGAGCAAGTAATAATCTTCCAAATGTTTTCTTCTAGCGTGACAACAGCAAACGGCCAAGATTTAATTTTGTCTGAAAAATATAAAAAAAGAAAACCGTTTATTTTTCATATATAGAATTATGTTTCAGGATACTCATTCAGTTTCAAATTAATACAGCTTTTTAATAAGAGAGAGATTAAGTTTTTCTTGAAGAGAGAAAAAATAATCCTATTCAATTTAATGATCAACTTCGTTGCACACGTAGTAATTTCATTAGCGAGATCTCGCCGTAAAGGGATCCCCACTCCTTTCAGATTACCTAGAAGTGATCAATGAAAAGAGAAAGCCCACGAGAATGACTCAATGCCGACGAGTTGTATCTGCTGTTAAATTGAGCCCAGCATTTATTGCGCTACGAACTGTGAAATACGGTAGTAGCACCTCGACGTGCTAACAGTGAAATAGTTCCAAGTATCTTCAATAGATTTCTTTGTTTTTCTTTGTTTTTATATTTTTTCTCTTTCTTTCTCTCTCTCTCTCTCTCTCCCTCATCTTAAATCAGTTATTGTCTTAAAATACAAACACAAGATCATTTGACCAGGATTTAAAAAGTGATTATGATTATCAGGAAGACCTTGATCATTTTGATCGCTATTTTTCTCATTTTTGGTGAGCATAAATATATATATAAATATTAGAATTTTAAAACTTTTTCTACATTTAATAAAAATTAAGAATCTGTTTAATATAATGATGTAATAATGTCTGAAAAATAAGATAGTATGAGTCATAAAGTTGTTTGGAAAATTTATGATGATGTGAATAATTATGTAGTTATTTGTGAAAAATGATGCAATCGAAAAATTGTAGTTTATACTTAAAAAAAACAAGACACTTTAAAAGTGTTATTGTTGGTTTTATACGTGTGAAATATAATATTATGAATGTGATAGAAATTTATTAAGTTAAGATGCAGTAAAGATAAATCTATTTATTCGAATATTGTACCACTTTTATTTTTGATACATTAAGTATTCGCGAAAGTTTAGATCGTATACTTTCTAAACAAAGAATTTGAAAGTATTCATAGCTGCGTCGAAATTTTTTATTATGTTTCTTACGTACCGATCAAAAAAAGTTTCCTTTAAATATTATTGTCTATTTAATGAAATAAAAATGAACGTTTAATAATAAAAATATAAATAATTGTTCAAGGCTGAAACAAAATGGATATATAAGCAAATATGATAGAAGAAGTATCATGATGCAAATTATTCTTGATAGCATTATTATTCAATTGTCAGCATTCTACTTTAATTGAAAAACACGCATGCGCTAAGAAGAGCAAGTTCTTTCGTTATTTCGTTAATTTAGTTAAATTCTTTGAAATGTATAGATATATCAGTCAAATACGTAATAGATAGTAGTGCATGCATCAGTGCATGAATGTAAGTAACATGATTTATCTCTATCACATAAATTACTAAAGTGTCTAGATTTAATATTATTACTACAATAGAGAAGTAAGTAGCATAAAGGGGAATTTATCTATACTACTATATAATTATAATAATTGTCTTAACAGCTACTGGAGAAGCTCGAAAGACCGGTGGCGGTGGTCGTAAAAGTAGTGGAGGATGGGGTTGGGGATCACGTTCGTCAAGGACAACATCTAAACCACCCTACAGTAGACCTCAAAATACTGAACATGGTATGTTACTCTAGTTATTTCAATGATTACATGTGTAACTAATAGAACTTTGATATTCTTTTTCCAAGGTTCAACTCCAAATAAAATAGGATGGAATGTTCCAGACTCAAATAGACAGGCCAGCAGCAATACGGCGTCAAAACCGTCAGCTCCAGCTTTAGATCATAACATTGCTTCCAAAACTAGTGCAACTTCTTTGCAATCAGGATATAATCCTTCTGGTAAATTTCTTTCAAGTAATTTTACTTGCGGTATAAAATAATCATCTTTTTAATGATCACAGGTGGATATCCTCGTCAGAGTCAACCAATTGGTTCTCAACAAAATGCACACAATCCTTATAATGCTGGATACAATCCGTCGGCTAGTCAAGGCTACAATCCTTCAGTCGGTGGCTATAATCATGGCTATCCAGGCCAAGGTCAATCTTATAGTTCACCTCATATGGGACAGCCTTATAATCCAATGGGTAGCGGATACAATTCAGCACACGGTCAGCCTTTTAATCCGTCTTATGGTCAATCCTATAGTCCTTCGTTTGGACAAGCACCACAACAAACTATTCTCTTGCCATCCTCGCAACCATACAAGCCAGGTATCGGACAAATTGCGAAAGAAGCTTTCGTCTTCGCTGGAGTCAGTGCAGGTGTAAATGCAGCAGTGAGCAGAATTCTCCCAGGTGGAATTTATGGACATAGCGGCGGTGGCGGTAGTAGTAGTGGTAGTGCAGGCACTCCTGTTGCTTCTAATACTCAAATCACTTATAATAATTATTATAACAATCAATCTGCTCCAATCCCTGATGCCAACGCGGGAGCGGCGCAACCTGCAGCTCAACCTGCTTCAGGTCAACCTGCTGCAAGTCCTCCTGCTCCAAATGGAGCTGCTGTACTACCGGAAGAACCTCCTACTGTTCAACCATTACAAAATACTGAAACTAATGCAAATAGCAATGCTTCTCCTGGAGCTGATAAACCCAATACTCAAAATTCTCCGGGATCCAGCAATAATCCTAATCCACTCGGTTTTGTGACCTCTGATGATGATATTAAAAAATTGTCTGAAGAATTATTTAATAAAGATACAAATAATGCGTTCAAATATATTACCATTAAACTACAGGGCCAAAAGAAAGACGACAGTGTTACAGATGACGCCAGTGATCCGTAAGTGTGATCTCTTTTTTATAAATATATTACTCAATAATTTCTTTTAAGGTAAATATTTTTTTTTTTAATAGATTGTTGGATGTTAAACCAGAAGCTTATGAAATACCAACGATCAAATCTGTTATTGGTCTTTATGATGATTATGAGTTGGACGTTAAAGTGAAAGAAAATCTTACGCCTGAGAGACGTAAAAAGGAATCTGAATTTCTTGATAAATTATTAGAAACCGATATTATGCAAAATGCAATGAAATTCTTAGCAAACAAAGGATATATACCCGATGATCCATATGAATTCAAGGACACGTTAAAACGCATATGGTTCTCACAGTTTAAACGAATAGACGGAGATGCATCAAGTTCCGGCTTTGAAACAGTTTTCTTAGCAGAACAATTTGATTCTGATATAATTGGTTTACATAACTGGATCTATTATGCTATGAAAGAGGCTGAGAAAAAGATTGATTATCTTGGATATATTAAAGAAATAACGTTTGGAGATGTAAGTATTAACATTGTTTAAATTTATGTATCTCTATTTATGTATTACTTTATTAATTATAAATTAATTTTTCTTTCTAAACCGTTTATGATGAGATCCATGAAACTATTTGAAAATTTAATTTATTTGATCACACACTTACATACATATTTGTATAAAACTTTTTACAGAAGGCAGCTGTACTCAAAATACGTTCTAAATTAAATGGCTTTGTTCAACCGGTGACTTCCATATTTGTTGGAACATCACCAGAGTTAGAGATGGCACTTTATACGGTTTGTTTCTTTACGCGTCCAAATACTGCTTGTCCTGTTTCTTTTGGTGGAACTAATTTTATAATTATTGCAAACAGAGTAAATTACTTTGGTAAAGATATATTAGTCGCTGCATTTCCAGAAATCTAATTTCTAAAATTTATATTTCTTTTAATGAAATATTGCATATCTATATTATCAAAGATAATTTCTTTTTAAGTTTTCTAAAAATATAATCTTATTTACATATTATATTTCATATCCTTAATTCTGCAGGAATGTGAAAAGAACTTGCTTTTTAACTATTCTTAATAAGTATTAAAACATTTATAATACAAATTTGTATAATCAAATAAAACAATTATGAGTCAACATATATTAGTATTACGCTTTAAACATAATAAATATTTCCATCTATTTAGGAAAAAAATGTATAATATGTATAAAAGAAAAAGTGAGCCTACCTTCATATTTTTAAAATATCTTCTTCTTAATTCTGAAAGTTCTATTATAGGTATTATCGATGGTCTTCCATGTGCACATCGAGTTGGAGATTTTGTAGTTTTTAAATCATTGAAAAGTTCTATGCATTCTTGTACAGATAACGATTGACCAAATTTTATAGCACCTAAGAAGATATAACAGAATAATTTCTATAAATTACATTTTTTAGGTCACCTTTTCTAAGATTACCAATTTGTACAAATAATAATTACCATGACATGCTTCCATTGATACAGCATTGTGAATAGATAAAGGTAAAATGTTGATACCATTTCCATTCGTAATATTATTCGCAATTTCATTTAGCAAATTCTGGATTGTGGTTATTAATTTTACGTCATTGTAACATTGTTTCTTAGTTGTAAAACATTTTGGTATACTATATATGCTTAAAGTATTTTCATTAATTGCAGTTAATTTGATTCCATATTTATCTAATAACTTTTTGTTCGAGAGAAGTAATGTACACGTATGCATTTTCACTTCTATTGTTATTGGAATTAGCAATTTTTTAGTTAGGAAATTGTTATGATCAGATGTTTTGTAACCTGTATAAATAAATATAATTGCAAATTAACAAATAATACATTCTAATATTCATTCTATAAAATTAAACTAATCAATAATGTGCAATAATACCGTTAAGTAAATTTTCATATCTTATTCTTTCATGAATAGCATGTTGATCCATCATTAGCAATAATTCTACATTATCATAAATCATTAAGGCAGCTATTAATTGATTATTAACTTGATTTAATATCTAAATAAAATGATGATAATTAACATTACTTCTCTACACCGATATTATCCATATTTCTATGATCATTTATTACCTTTGTAAATTCTAATGCAGTCCTTTGTAATTTAAATTCATAGAAATTTTGTGTAAATGCACATGGATGTATATCTATATCTTGTGGTTGTTTTCTATTTTCTATTGAATATATACAATTAACAAACTACATATATTAATAATAAAAATATAAAATGAAAAAATAGAAGAATTATGTTGAACTATACCTTGATAATTACATGTTAATTCGTTAAAAAGTATGCTTGTATCAATGTTATCAAACGAAGGTGTTTTTATTAATTTAATTGTTCTAAATTGTGCAAGATTATTTAACTTTTGCGGAAGAAAGTCAAAAACTTTATAATATTTCTCAATACTTTTATTTTTCTTATTTAATTTGGATAGAGAAGTGTGCTTTTCTACTTCATTATTTTTCACTTCATTTGTATGATAACTCCAATCAGACCACTCAAAAAGAGAACAATTATAATCTTCTACATAATCTACTTTTTTTTCTATGCTATTTTCTTGTTTTGTCGACAATGTTTGGACTGCGTTGACTGTAGTTTTAACTGAACTTGGATTTACGTAATTGATATATTCTTTTGTATTACAATTCTTAGATATGTTAAAAGTAATATTCTTTTCAAAGGAACGTTGATTACGATTGCTATCAACATTTTGTAATTTTGGTCTCTTTATGGCAAAAGTACCAGTCTTCAAATGTTCTTCATTAATTATATAATTTTCTATAGAATTTCTTTCCCTTATACTTTCGTAGGGGAAAATCCCAAATCTGGTAAAAAAAACTGTCATGGGATTATGATTAATATTAGTATTAAATAAAATAGATCTTTTAATTTTATTAATATTTTTTAAATGATCTTCTTCATAGATAAATAAAGGTAAATCATTTTGTACCTCATAGATTGTAGATGTATCAGGTTGTATTGGTTTTTTTTTGCAAATTTCGAAATAATCAAATAATTGCTTTTTGACAGTTTTAAGTGTAAAAAGATCTCTTATATATAGGTTAATGCTGTTTATAACTTCATGTATTTTGTCTGACTTATAAATTATTATATTTTTTTTTAGATCAAAAGAAATATCCATTAACGGACAATTAATAAAAAGCAATAAAAATATATTTTCACTTGTCAATTTTGTTTTGAAAAGGTAATAATAATTTTGGATGAAATAACTCAGAATTTTGTCTACAAAATTATGACAATAAACTGGTTTATTATTTAAGTAAATGTAGTGCATTTTTTTTACTTTTTTTTTAATAAATCCAATGTAACCATGGTATTGAATAGATAATGAATTAATACGAGGTATGATCCATGTATATTCCAGATAAATATATTTTCCATATATATTTTGGAATGTTTGGAAAGAATTTGTGTTTTTTTCAATTTTTAAATGACAATATGTTTCGTCATTAATTATGAAAGTAATCTATTGAAATAGCGACAGAAAAATGGGATACCTATTTATTGGTCAAGTACAATGGGCCAAAACATAATTTTGGTATAATCTAATAGTGGAATAGTTTATTACCTGAGGATTATTTAAAGAAACGTTTGCAATTAGAAGGCATATTAAATACATGATTTTTTTGTGACCTTCCGAAGACATAATATAATTATATAAAGTCAATGTTGTGCCATATATTGATCGATCTATTTCATCTCTTAACATAATTATTTCCTTCTCAAAGATCTGACAGAGAAAAGGTTTACGTTATATTTATATAAATAATATAAATTATAAAATCTTTAATAATATTCAACTAAATTGTTACAATTTACCTTTGTATATGTTCCCTCAAAACTCTCACATTTAGATGTAAGCAAAATAGGATAAAATTGCTTAAATGCAATTTTCAAATTATGGTGTCTTAATCTTATAAAAGAAGACGAATTTTGAGTATTATTAGTCAATTCATTCTCATGTAAATCTGGAAAGTTGGGTACAAATAATCCTATACCATTATCTATTATCTGAATGCGTCTTTCTATCTTATCAAGTTTTAAACATATGTGTGTTGCTTTTTCATTTATTGAGTCCAAAACCTAAATTTATCAATACATAGTAGTTTTAATGCAAAAGCATAACTGTTCGTTCATCTTTACTACTATTTATCTATTAATTTTTTCTAATAAATTTTCAATAAAATATACATAAAATTCCAATATTGTACAATACAAATGTTAGAGGAGATATAAGGAACAAAATCAAAATTTGTTTACAATTGTTTCAAATATTATAATAGTATATCTATCTAATTATTGAAATTGTTACAAGCAAAGAAAACAAAGAAATGAACAAAAGATGCATACGTACCAATGGGAAAACGTGTACTGGATCGGTTGCAATTGCTATCATTTCCATGTTTCTTCACCTTGTCTGAGTGATTAGAAATAATTAAGAATATGTGTGTGTGATTAACACTTTTTAAAATAATTATAATTAGATTTTGGTAATGAAGAGATCTAATTAATACGCAACACCATTTATGGAAACGTAAAGACTAAGATTGTCTTCTGTTTTTCCTTAGGAATATTTTTCAAGTTCCAAAGTTCGTATTAAAAAACTAATTCTTATTCGTTTGTTTCATTTAATTAAAAAAATATATAGTCAATGAAATTAAAGATATATAATAGTAATTAAAAGTGCTTTTTTTCTGTATATAAAAATCAAAGTAAACATAATCAATGAAAATCAGTAATGTTTTTTTTTGTATTTAAAAATAAAAATAACTAGACATTTTTTATATCTGTGAAAACAAAAAACCAGAACTACTTAGCCAATTAGCATGTTCGGTGATATTTGAATAATTTTACTTTATCCGTATCACAGAGTAAAAAAGAATTGTAAAATTTATTCTTAAAACATTTTTTCTTTATATATTTTTATGTATATATGTTTATCCGGTCATATATATATTTATATATATATATATGATAACAATCGAAGATGTACATTATGTAGATTTTCGTTAATTTTACAAATTTGGAAAAATTGTCGTCAGTAAATATAGGCACTGAAAAAATTACAATCGCTTAAATATATCTAATTATCAATAAATTTATATATATATAGTAGTGAGCAACCTATAATAAATAATAATTATAATAATTATAAAAATTAATTATTATTGTTGTTGTAGTTGCTGTTTACACATGTGTCTCTAAAACATTCGCAATTATTAATAGAAAAATTGCCGAAATATGTCAACTAAGTAAATTAATTAATTATAACAAAATTTTGATACGCATTGAAAATTTGATATACTGTATATTACAGTTGATTAGAAAAACCACATTTCGTTTATAACCATATGCATGATTTAGTTCCATTACTATATGCAAAAATTTGATAAAAATTGATCTTATAATAGACAAGAGATCAATATAATATACGATACGATTAGAAGTTTATATTACATAAATTCTACATTCGATAAAAAAGAACTAAAGTTATTGCTATATAAATTGGGTAAAAAAATGATAATCTTTTATAAGACTGGTTCAATGTTAATGCCAAAATCAAATGTTTCCTAAATCATATTTTAATCTTTCCATATAATTTGCGAGTTATGTTTCATTACAAAAAAAAAAAAATAGAAAAAAATCACACGTTCCAATTGTATGACATTCGTCGATGAATTAAGTTATTTATTTTACATGTGTCTTATTACCGGTGTTCTTTAAAGAATGCTAAAAAAGTGTAATGTACAATAGACACACTATGCTTAAATTATTGTCAATTGAAAACTAAGAAAATTTAGTGAACAAGTACAATAAATAGTTTATCATTATGTACAAAATTTGTTCTTCGTCCAGAGAAGAATAAAAAATAAGAGCATACGTCTTTCTTATACAAGATATAATATAACCATTATGGTATCATTTTTTAAAACAAATTAGAGACTTTTTCTTTTTCTTTTTTATTTACTACTTACGAAATGCAAACAGATATTTATAAACTATAAGAATCGTTGCAGTCACACATATTTTTTTTAAATATAATATAATCTGTACAACATTATTTGATATAAATTTTACTGATGTATAATAAAACAATGAATGAAATAAAGTATTTGAAATGATCATCGTATGTACGTACATGTATGTATATAATAATTCAAAAATTATCAACAAGTGTTATATAAAAGTTATGGCAGGTACCATAAGGTTATATTAGTTATTTTAATTACATCAATTATGAAAGCATATGCTATAACACAGACAAAGATTATATGTATCGTATATATATGGTTTTATGTTACTATTGAAATTAAAACAGACATATTTGGCGCACAAAAATTGTCCTTTTTATGCCTGATTTTTGTAATGTATCAGTAACATCATCGTAAAATAATTTCAATTTTTATGACACGTGTGTGTATGTATGCTTGTATGTATTAAAGATAATAGTGAAAATTTCATTTCAAAAAATATATTAAAGTCATTATAAAATTTTCTTTTACTGTATCGCTTTCATTGCATTAACAGGAAATTACAATCTATAATAGATATTCTTATAAAGTAACATATCAACGGTATAATCTTTCTATCTATTATATTTAAGAAAAAGAAAAGTAAAACGAAAATAAAAAGAAAACAAGATTCATTCTTTTCAAATGAAATTGAGCGTTAATCATCTAACGATCTTTATTGCAAATAAAAAATATGTAGATTCTTTCCTGTGTCTACTACAAGTCGAGCATTTAATTAGAAGATAATTAAATGATACAAGGTATATAAATGTTTTATATATTCGAGAAAGGCGAGCTTGCAGAATAATAATCTTAAAATAATTTTCGATTGTTTGTTTATCGATATAAAATGTAAAAAAAAAAAAAAACGGAATCAAATTAGAGAAGAGCTCGCTGTAGTTATCTTTTCAATTTGGAGAGTTATCGTAGTAAAATTATAGTAATAATAACAATCACATATCGTGTCATTTATTAACGAGATATATAAACACACGAATAAGATGAAGTTATATAAATAATTTAGAGGCATCGAATAGACGATGTCCTTAGTGCTTATAAATCATGTAACATGAAAAAATTTATATATATATATATATTTTTTTTTAATATATATATATATATATATGTATATATATATTTATATATAAAGGTGTGTTTGTGTATGTGTGTGCGCGTGAGTGTATGGGGGTGTGTATATATAGAGTTATATGTAATTCATGTATGTATGTACACAGAGCATCTACAATGCCCTGAAAAAGTGATAGACACCAGTATCTCATTAGATGTCGTTAGACACATTCGAAGATTCTCACGCACATTATTTTCTACACTGTTACACGGTACAATTATATCTGAAAGTTCTTGAAATTTTTATTGTATGCATGCGTATGCATTAACGTATGTATATATGTATGCGGATTTTTAAAACTTTTGTCATTAATGCATATATACGTGAAGACACATATGCGCGCATTACATATGTATACATACATATGTATAAAATATATTGAGTTATATTCTTATAAATAATATATCATCTAAATTATGACGCTTCGGCAAATTATATAATCACTTAAAGAAGAATTTCACAATTTAGTTTATTAAACCTTAGGCACCAATGGTATGCAGACCCTGTCTTTGGTACGCGTGCGACCGAATCATTATTAATATTTTATCTAAAAAACAGAGGGTACGCAGGAGAACAATGATCTTCAATAATTCTTTTTTCAACGATTGTTTGTCGTTTACTTTTATTGTTTAAATCTTTCCAAGTGTTTTGTTATTTTTTTGTTTTTTTTTTTTGTGTGTGCGGGTTTTTTGCGTTAGTTTTTATTTTTCTTTAATAAGTCAAACACACACATACATAAATACATGGGGAGAAGGGGTCGATTCTAGATCAAGGAGATAACAAAATATTTCTGATACAGAATCTGCCCTAGTGGTGTATCCCACTCACCTAGGAAGAAGTTGACAATTTAGTCATTTAAACTTTAGGCACCAATGGTATGCAGACCCTGTGTCTTTGGTACATGCGACCGAATAGATATCATTTCGTTTAAAACAAAAGGATACACAGAACAATAGTCTTCTGCAATTTCAACAATTTTTTTACTTATACTCTTTCTCTTTCTCTTTCTCTATCTCTATCTCGTGCGTTAACTCCTTTATCTCTTTTCTTTATTATTTTTATATCATTATTTTATGTTATTTTCTTTTTTCTTGTTAAACTCTCTTGCACGATGCCGTAAAAATTAGTTATATTCGTTTATATCAGTAACATTGTCCTAAAACAACACATTCATTATAGAAAGCTCAGTCTTCTTCCTTCTTTTCCGGTTTCAAGTCCACCATTGCATGGAGTTGCTCTGGATTACATCTGTAAGGAAATAATTAACTTTATTTAATACAATATATATTATAATATATATATCAATAATAACATTGACATATTAAAATACAAATGCATCACATACCCAAGTAAATTTTGTAAGTCACAGACGAAACGGTACACGTAACGCTTGCCAGCGGTCTTATGTATAATATTTTTATCATAATAGTACCGTAGACCGCGGCTTAATTTTTCGTAATTCATTTTAGGCTTATTCTTTCTAACACCCCAACGTCGTGCCACTTCATCGGGATCCGTAAGTTTGAATTCCCAACCATCTCCCGTCCATGAGATGAAACTCTGACATGATTTATTGGTCAGAAGTTCCAATAAAAATTGCCAGAGTTGTATTGGTCCTGAACCTGTGAAATATGGACCACCACCTGCACAATTATCACCTATATTTCTATTCAGTTGTCCTATGTCATTTAGTTTATTATTATTTGTATTAGTTATCATAATGTATTGTGTAGTAGATGCTTACCGGTATAACTAGCTGCGATCATTGCACTCTGCAGGAGAGGCTTTTGATCGGCGTTATTACCAATGGAAGGTGGATGATGTGCACCAGATGAATCTCGCGAGCCAAGACTCGCGATGAACGCTGGATGATGAGAAAGATGTTCACTGATAGGTGCAACACCCCATTGTTCACTTCCAACACCAGCAGCACCAGTTGCTGTGTTTCCACTCCCAGGAACCGTTTGAAATGGTGTCGCATCGTATTGACTGTATCCACCGCTTTCACTATATCCTTCATGATATCTCGCTGAAAAATATAACGTAAGTATAATTTTACGATATCTAAATTATCACTATTGAATTAAAGATATTCAAAATAGATCATTATCCTGCCGTTTGATTTTACCGGGAAAATTTTCAAATTGATGCATAAACGTGTCACCTGATACGAGAGTTCACATTTTATAAATCTCATTTCTAGATTCTCTCTTTTTAAGATTATTTTATTTAGATTATATAGAAGAATTCAATTGAATAATTGTTATGCAACCGAATTATTGAATTTTATTAAAATTTAATCAGTTGTTTTGATTACGATCAATATTTAAGATCAATGAAGTAATTCGTAATACCTCGAGGATAATTTTTAAATGGCGATGGTTGATACTTCGGCTCGAGGTGGATACCACTGGTACTGTAAAATTCTGGCGAACTATCCAGATTATAGGTATGAGGAGCTTGATGGTCCTGCGATAAACCGTGATAATCAGAGGCTTCGTCATATCCAGAATAATGCGCAGGAGTAATGTAGTCTTCTGTCGTCCCGGTATTGTTAACCCTAAGCTCACTCTCATTGGTCCCCGTTGCACCGAGATCACCGCCACTGGCCAATCCGCCGGTTCCTCCTTGTAAGTGTTCCGCCGCTATATGGTGGCTGCTATAGTTCGCTATAAAATTTTGCAAAATTAAATCGATCTTTTATTTTATTTTACTTTACTTTATAATTATATTTCTTTTATCGAATATTTCAAGCTAACTATGTAACTATGATTTGAAAATAAAATTAATTATTTAGATATATATTACTTGTGAAGATAAAAGATTAAAATTTGTAATATTATCATTTTTTATACTACAGGTGGCGCCAATAACTTTGATACATTAGAATACTCACATTCCGTTTTGAGTTCATTTAAATTTCGTAGGTGTATATAAGCATTATTTGCATTGTTGTTGTTATTATTGTTGTTATTTCCCGTAGGTGTATTGGAATGAGAATTAGGAGGTTGTGTACTATGGCTGTGGGGTGGCGGAGAAGTTTCTTCCCTCTGACTTTCATCTTGACACACGGGACTGCGTAAATGTGCATAACCTCCTAGAAAAAATCCCCCAAAAAATAGATAAGATCAATTCATTTTTTATGAAATCTACATTAGGAAGATCTCATATAATTTCTTGAATTTCAATATAAATAAAAAAAAGTAAGTTTATCACAATTATGTACGTGAAAAGATATTGGTTTATACATATAAAAGAATTTCGTCACTAAAAATGAGTTTTAATGATATGTAAAAGGGGAGACGAAGTTAAGATATATACTTTTAATGTATTCTTTGTACAAACAAAGTTACTAATTTCAAGTGCGGTTAGAAAGAGAGAGTGAAACTCCGGAGTCTGCAGGGAGGAACCACAGCGACACGTGGGCGGTACGCATCTTGCTGATTGGCTCGAACAAACTCCGCCCATTCTCTCAACGACCTTTCCTTCGCTTCGAGGATTCCGTTCTCGCCGAATGCGGAGGCTGCATTAGCTTCGCCCACGACAATGTCGTCGTTTTCATCATCATCGTTGACTCTACGATTTGCACTAAATTTTTACTTTTCTTTCTTTTTTTTTGTTTTATTTATTTTTCCCTCCCTTTTCTGTGATTATCCTCCTTCCCCACTAGATATTAGATTTTTTTTTTATTCAATAACGCATCGAATATAGATTTCGCAAATACTTTTAAAAATGCTATCATTTTCCATTATCTTTTAGTGAATTTTCATTGCATAATTTCATTAGGAATTTTGCAAACAATTTGATATTATTTATTTCGGAGAATTAAGAATGGCTATGAAAGAGGTAAGATATAACGAAGATATTATCATGAAAGAGCAGGTGGACGTAAAAAGAAGAAACATTGCTGAGCAAGAAAAGAGAAGGCAGATGCGTTCCTCGAAAAAGTCCACATATAATATCATTTAATTATCCTTACACTGGTTTTTTTCTTTTTAAAAATATTTACTTGATCGATAAACTTAATGCTAATCATAGGATTATAAGTTAACTTGTTTCATGAAGATTTCCTGAGTTTCTTCATTTTACATTTCATTTMATTTATTTAAAGTTTATTATATAATATTAACAGTTTTTCACTCATAAAATAGATCCCATGGAAAAATGAATTTATTTTTTAAATTTTCTATTTATGGGGAATTCAAGGTTGCAAAAAATTGTGATATTTGTTGGAGAGATAAAAGTCATAATTTCATAGAAATTAAATCAATTTTTTTCATCGAATATTACTATCATAAAAAATTAAACAATCGAACTTTTTTATTGCACTTCGTAAGTTTCTTGTAGTCTGTAGTGCAAAATTACGTTTACGTAAATAACTATCATTTTGTATTTATCATTGTGGTGCGTATGGTAAGGAAACTCATTCAGATATACATATCTATATACTTATCTATGTACTTATCTATATACCACAGATTAGTAATATGTTAGTTGCTTTAGTCTGTACTAACATCATACATTGTTTTTAGGTTGAGCTAAACGATCTCACAAAGAAAAGAAAAATAATGCATTTAGATTGTTCAAAAATAGTCAATAGATATTTTCAATAATTGAAACGATTTCCCAACACGAGTATTGTTAAGTTTATACACGTTATATGCATACAGTATAAAACCAAACAAAAGGAGTAACATGGTAAGTAACAATTAAATTTTCCTAAAACATTCTTTCTCAATCAGTTAAAAAGTACGAATATTTATTTAATTACAATATAAAAATAGCAATTAAATCAAGTCCTGTTCGTGCTTGTGAAGTTGAATAAATATATTTCAATAACTATTATTATTATATAGGATAGTAAAAAGAAGGTTCGATATTTACAGGGCTCATAGTACTTACCGAGACGAGTACAAAATGTCTAATTAACATGGGTTCTAAAATCATAGGACTTGGTATTATATTTATTTAAAAATACAGTAATCTAAGAAATATTTGAAAGTGTAGGTCAATCTATGTTTTATAAATGTCAGAATAGCATTCAATTGGAAGGAAGACATATCAATTATCTATGATTTTTACATTTTTAATGTGTTGTCGAAAGCTCGTTTACAATATCGAACGCTCTTAAATAATAAAAGTTAATTAATAGTAAAAGAGTTGATTTTTATTTATTTAATGTTTATTAGACATTTTTTATTCGTTTTAGTGAGTACTACAAGCCCTTCAAATATCGAAATCCTTTTTTTATCACCTTGTATAAAAAATAAGAATAGCTTTTAATGGTTAAAAATAATTTCTTAGTATTATGAATTCATTGTCATAATTACTTTTGTTACTAAAACCAGTACTTAACATTCATGACACATACTATATTATAACAGACTCAAGAGACATATTTATTTAAAAAAGAAAAAAAATTAAATGAATTACAAAATTGTACTGAAAATAAAATCAATGTCAATACTTTTGTTTACCACTATATTTATAAAAGTAGACAAATGCGTAGTACCTATATACGTGTTTGAATAATTATTTATTTTACATATCAAAGATCGGAAAACAATGGTAAAGGTGAAAAGCAATGAAGAAAAGAGAAAGAGAGAGGGAAAGGAGGAGGAGGAGGGTTTTCGCTCTCATAAAATACACCGGGTTCCATTTTTATACGGGCGATTTACCTACACCTGCGAAGTCCACTACGCGCGTAACTGCAGCTCGCACCCCATGTTGCTTCACACAGGGAGCGTGGGAGTGCAGGTCGACGTCGGCCCTCACGGCGGCCCTCACAGTCGGCCCTTAACGACGACGACGACGTAGTCGTCCCTTACTCACTCACTCACACGCACCCCCTTTTCTCGCGCTCGCCTTTTCTCCCTTCGACTCATGTTTTCGGCTTCGCGCCTTCAGACCTTCTTTTCTCTTTTCTTTTCTTTTCTTTGGTGCGCACGGTTATGTCTAAGTAATACGTATTTTTAAAGAAGGAATTTCTTTTCTAAGTTTTACTTGAGATCTTTATATAAGAGAGAGAATATTTGTAAAGGAATCCTTTTTTCGATCCATATCATAAAAAAGTTTAATATAAAGTCAACAAAATGAGGAACACAATGTAAATAAATCAATGATTTTAATCTAATAATGAAATAATAATATATAAAAATTAAAATAAAATAATATGGACGATAATAATGATATAGAAATGTAAAAGAGATGTAAGTGAGGTTGATGTATAAGTGTTTAGCAAATTGATGTAAGATATGAAATTGAACATGATAATTAGAATTAACTCGATTTCCAGCTGACACAAATGAGACGTGGGAAAAGTAATCGATCAGGCACGTGCACTTTGATATATCGTGCTCACGTGGAGAGTACTAAGAAAGAAAGAAAGAGAGTTAGTAAGAGTAAGCATGTAAGTAAGTAAATAAGTACGTAAGAGCGACAGTATAACAGGCACAGCAGTCGTTTAACAGCCGCATAGCAGGCACGCATCAGCTGTGGAACAGGTGCCGGCCGGCAAGCAACCAACATAGGCCCAAAAGAGAGTTTGAGTTGGACGATGCCGGCAACTTCTTAACGAAAACAAGCGTAGGAAACGAGGAGGACGGAACGGAGGGCTAACGTGGCACGCGCCAAATCGAATGTAACACGGCTCTTCCTTCGGAAAGAAAGCACAGCTGCTGTGTTACTGCTCCTTCTGCTGCTATTGCTGTTACTACTGTGCTTCTGCTGCTGTTGCTGCTAAGGCTGATTTTTTGGCTTCTTTTTAATTAATTTCTATGATCGATATTAAACTTTAATAGCACAGTCTTTAACGCTCTCTATCATATTCTTATTATTTCTTTAATATGAATTGTATGTAAGTAACGTCTGCCATTTATGCATTTACAAAATTATACGAATAATTTTTATTACTTATATGAGATCGTGTAAATCATACGTTTTATTGATAGGAATTGATTTATTCATGATATGTTTATTACGAGAAACACATAAGATATTCCAAATCGTAAATAATATTTAATTAGACGAAAAACATGTAAGGTAGCATTACATTTAAAAATATAGGATCTTTCGTTGAGTTATACGATATAAATTGTATGAATATACGATATTAATTTATTTCTTCATTTTTCCTATACATATTCATTAACTTCAAAAAGTAGATAATAATAATAAAAAGAGAGAAAGAAAAGAGTGAGAAAGAAAGAAAGAAAAAAAAGACTCGTTAGGTCAGACATGCATTGAACTAGAAACTCATTGGAGCCTTAAAAACATCCATACATATATATGCACATACATAGATACTTGGTAAAAGTATGTACGTATATATACATACGTATAATATATATATATATATATATATATATATATATATTAGTGCGTGCAACGTGTGCACGTTGAAGCCAGGCGATTGTGCGATGCGCTCATAAAAAACGTCGTCCTCTGACGGCAACGAAATCGCACATTGTTCGGTAGACTGCTGACCTGCGAACTCTCCCACAATCTACCTTTACCGCACTCTCTATGTATATCCGTGTTACATACCTCTCTTTTTAATATGTGTGCATAAGTACGCGCGCCACTATGCTAAATTAAAATGTATTCGCTCCGAGTCGCATGTATTAGAGAGAACGCCCCACCACGCGCAACAACAGAGACTAAGAAAAACTTACGATTTATATCCAAAGGTTCTTTTCTAAATTTCTCTTTTTTTTTAATTTTTTTTTTTTATGTTACTTCTGTTCCGTTTTATTTGAGTTTCGTTTCATTACTTTCAACACTTAAAATTTTTGATATCTTTAGAAAGATTGAACAAACAGGACGATTATTTGGTGTGTTAAGATTTTCATTATTTTCTTGCGTATTGTTAATTGTCGATTAGTAATTGTTCATTTTCATTTCCCTCTCTTTCTTTCTTTTCTTTTTCTATGTATTTTTCATCTCTTCTTTTTATTTTTTTCTCTCGTTACAGATGGATAAGCTACATAGAACAGACTACGGCCTGAAATCTCCTGCTCTACGAAGCGTGTAATTCTGACCTTGCTTGGTAGATTTTATTGCCAAGTCAACGAGAGCCGCACCTTATGCGGCAATCTA